ATATTGATTATATTATTAATATAAATCAAATAGGTATATAAAATATATATTGATGTATCCATCAATAAATATGTGGACATTTGCAATATGGTTAATGAATGTCTTTGAGTTCAATAATAACAAAATCCCTGATTTAATTCCTGTATCTGAAAAGGTCAGTGGGAAAACTTCATGACATAATATGGTTCTTTGCATGAATCACTTCCATAAGTGAAACCTCTATCAAGGTTATTTTTATTTATTTTATTTACTTTTAAAAGTAAATAAATAAAACCTACCAGAAATCAAGAAGTAGCTTCTTAGCTGCATATTTTAGCTGTGAAACACAGTATTAAATTATTTAAGGAATTCTATGAATCAGTTATTTTATTATAAATTCTTTTGAATATTTAATAAAATAGTTCAATTTAAAATAGTTCAATATTATGCACTTGTATAGATATTTTTTATTCAAGTATAATTAACATACAGTGTGTATTATTTTCAGATGTACAATATAATGATTCAACAATTCTATACCCTTTTTAGTGCTCATCAAAATAAATACACTCTTATTCCCCCATCACCTCACCTACCTCCCCTCATTTTTTCACATATGGATAACCAGATTTGCTAGCATCATTTGCTGAAAAGTCAGTCCTTCTTCCTCTCCTAATCTGCAGAGACACTTTTGTCATAATTGCCTGTATCTGTGCACCTGTCTCTGGGATCTTGTTCTCTTTTATTGGTCTATCGTTGTTACACAGATACTATTCTCCTTTAAATTATATAGCTTTCCAGTAAATTTTGATATCTGGTCTAAAAAAATAGTTAAAACTCTAACATATTTTATGTAAACCACAAGCCACAACAAAAAATATGTATAGAAGTTACACACACACAAGAGAAAGAAATCAAAGCATACCAGTGCAAAAAATCTGCAAAACACAAAGGTAGACATCAAGAGAAAAAATCCAGATAAAAGAATAAGACTAACAGAAAAGAACAAAATGGCAACAGTAAATCCTTCTCTATCAATAATTACTTTAAATGTAAATCATTAAACTTTAAAAAGACATTGAGTGCTAGAATGGGTAAACAAACAGACAAAGCCCAAGACCCAACTGTATGCTTTCTAGAATAAACTCACTTTAGCTATAAGGACACACACAAGCTGAAAGTGAAAAGTTGGAAAAAGATATTTCACGCAAATGGTAAATAAAAGAGAGCAGAGGTGGCTATATTTATATCAGATAAGATAGACTTTAAGTCAAAAACTGTCACAAGAGACAAAGAAGGACATTATATAATGATAAAAAGATCAATTGAGAACATGTAACAGTTATAAATATATATGCACCCAACATTTAGAGCACCCAAATATATAAAACAAACATTGACAGAGAGGGGAACTAGAACAGCAACACAATAGTAGGAGACTTCACTACCCCACTTTCAGCAACAGATGGAACATCCAGACAGAATATCAATAAGGAAAACAACAGACTTGAACATACTTTAGACCAAATGAACCTAACAGACATATAGAGAGTGCTCCACTCAATAGCAGCAGAACACACATCTTCTCAAGCACACAGAGAACATTCTCCAGCATAGATTACATGTTAGGTCACAAAACAAATCTTATAACATTTAAGACTGAAATGATACTAAGTGTCTTCTCTCGTGACAAAGGAATGAAATTACAAACCAGCAGCAGAAGGGAAACGGGAAAATTCACAAATATATAGACATTAAACAAGTTCTCTACAGGAGAGAAGATAAAATGTATCAGATATTTTTGGAGCTGAGAGCTTTGGGCAACAATGGGCAGAGCGAATTATTAAAAATATAGTTTTCTAAGTCTTAGTAAATAGTCACATGTATAATATAAGTACAAGTCTTACCAGAATGACCTCATATTCCTGGTAGTTTTATACTAATGTGTCTGAAAAAGACTGATAATGAAGTATATGTGGTGTTCATTGGGATATTTGACAAAATCTACTATAATACCAACCTGCCTGAAAGAAGTTTTATTTAGGTTAGGTGTCATTAGTTGGGAGAGAGATCATTTGCTATATGCCAAATGTATTGTCTTTGGTCTCATCAGGTCCCACATTTTAAGAAAGAGAAAGACAAGTATCATATAATCTCACTGATATGAGGAATTTGAGAAACAAGGCAGAGGCTCATAGGGGAAGGGAGGGAAAAATGAAACAAGGTGAAACCAGAGAGGGAGACAAACCATAAGAGACTCTTAATCTCAGGAAACAAACTGAGGGTTGCTGGAGTGGTGGGGAATGGGAGGGATGGGGTGGCTGGGTGATGGACATTCGGGAGGGTATGTGCTATTGTGAGCGCTGTGAATTGTGTAAGACTGATGAATCACAGACCTGTACCCCTGAAACAAATAATACAGTATATGTTAATAAAAAATTTAAAAAAGAATGCTTCAATTAACATAACAAATTTGTAGATGGCACACAACTTGGATAGCTAATGCACTGAGTGACAGAGTCATACAATCCAAACACTCTGAAATTCAGAGAAAATGAAGAATCTGACAAGATGAATCTTTTAAGTTTGTACTAAATATAAACTGAAAGTAATGGGGTGGGGAGAATTATCTTAATTTACAGAGGCTCAAAAAAGCACAAGGGGAGGTTCAGTGGGCACGTTCTTTACTTCCACAAATGATTTTTGCGTTTAGTGTAATTACTGGCTTCTAGCTCATCAGGAACTTGATAATGTTCCTTATTAGAACAGTCTTCTTTTTGGGCATTAGAAGCTCTAAACCTGACAAAAACAAGATCTTGGGTGAAATAATTGATGGGGATTAAGGACCACACTTGTGATGAGCACTGGGTGATGTAAGGAAGTGTTGAATCACTATATTGTACACCTGAAACTAATATTACCCTGTGTGTTAACTATACTGGAATTTAAATAAAAACTTAAAAAATATAAAATGTAAAAAACCCCACCAAGATCTTAGGTAAAGGAAGCAATTTCTTCATGTGGATTATAAGGTGTAATAATGGGAGGGGGGCACGTTGCAGTTGAATCCTAACTCCATGTTTTGATTCACAGACCTGTACATTCTGTCTATGGCACCAGCTGGTGTCACCAGTGTGCCTCCAGAAAGTCATTTCAGCATCCTGTCCAGCAGGTTGCTTATGGATAAATAAATTCTTCAGGCGTGAACTGATTACCAAACTTTCTTTTCTGCAAAATGTCAAATGCAAGGATGTGTAGAAAATCATGACAACAAGGAAGACATTCTGTAACTTTGTGAATGGTGATGCTAGCAGAAGCATCGCAGGTAGAGAAGTCAAATCTACTCCTGAAATATGTGATTATTCCTGTGAACACAAAGCACTATCCAGTGCATGACGGAAGATTCTTAAGTAATAGATCTGCCATCAGGAGGTTGGCTGGTTTCCCTCTGAAATTGTGCTCTGCTTTGGTCTCTGCCTTTGACAGGTTGGGCATTTGGCAGAGGTTTTAGCAAAATCAGCCATGATGGGGGAGGACCTTATTGTCTGAGCTTAAAACTTCCATCCTTACTATCCCAGATCATTTTACAGGTGCCCATTTAATAAGGTCCAGGATGTCTGAGGAAAGAGGCTGACTGACATCCACAGGATAGGTCACTTTGTCCACCCAGTTATTGACAAATACACCAAAAGTTGAAGACTCTTGGTGAAAAATGTGTAGCAGGAAAATAATAGGAATTTTTAGCCAAAATTGTGCTGTGGAAGTATCAAATGTAATTATCATTAAGTCACTACTAAATGCAAAAGGCTGATTTTTGGACCTCCAGCTCGGCTGTCCACCTTCTACAGCTCATTCTCTGCCCTGGAAGATTGGCTTGTGGAAACAAACTGGCCCTGTGGCTTCCACATATTGATTTAGGGGCAGGAAAGCAGAGGAATGAGATAGGAGTCAGGCTAAGGGGCCCAGGCCCCCTCCGTGAGAGCAGGACTGGTCATGTTCCAGGCAGGGGTGCCCGCTCTACTCAGCTCTTTCCTCAGTCTTCTGCCTCCTCACCAGTGAAGTCTTCTGGTGGAAAGCTTTCGGTTTCTGTTCTCCATTTGCTACAATGACCAAAGATTTAGGATTTAGGTGTCAAACTTTTAAACTTTATCTCAACTTATAAAATTAGTATTTCCGGGATTATATTACTCTTTTTAGACTGGCCTTGAGGGAACTTTTTAGTGTGATAAGAAAGTGCCAAAACTGGATTTGGGTGGTGGTTGCACATATCTGTATATTTGCTAAAAATCAGCTAATCATGTACTTACAATGAGTGAATTTTATGGTATATAAAGTAGACCTCATTAAAGCTGAGAAAAAAATCTGAAATTTCTGGTTTGTCTCGTGAATATTGGGCATTCTCTTCAAATACCAGAAAAAGTAATTGAAAATATGGTTTCTTTCCCCAGTTCTCCCCACTCCCTGATTTTTTTTAAGATGTCTTTAGAATGCCAAAAATTGCCACTGTTTATATTATTAAATTATTAGCATGACTTGTAATCAATGTTGTTGTAGGATCAGGAAATTTAACTGTTAGGTAATTACAAGTTATTATATTAAATCAAATATCACTATATTAAGAAGTGTAATTGAAAATTCACATATTTTGGCTAAACCAAAAACACCTATGTATCATGTAACTCAACTCTAAAGGGAGTACAATTTCCATTTCCCTGACTTTATGGGTTAATCAGGAAACATTTTTTAAAGAACCACATATGATATTAAATTCAATATGTGGTGGACAGTTGAGAAATCATGTGTTATCTAGGTCATGAGAAATAAACTTAAAAAAAAAAAAGAAAACATTTCCTCTGAGGTTTTCACCAGTAGATGAAACTCTGCACCCTTGTTTGTACTCTGAGTGGACAATTTGAGGACTAGTTCTGATTAACAGCAGACTTATAATTTTTCTTATTACGTATCATACTTAAAAAAACAAAACGTACATATATACACACATATATTCACTCACATTGAAGATGCAAGATGAAGAAAGATACATGACATTGAATTTACAATTGAAAAAAAGGAGTTCTAGCCAAACATCCCAACTTAAATTTAAAGGTATGGAATTCAGCTTTTTTTAATTGGTGTGGGTTAATATGGGTATGGATTTAATATTGGTTAATATTAATACGAACATGAATGTGGACAGTAATTTCCAATATTCTGTTCCTTACTGTTCTTGGACTATTTTATTTGCTTTTCTCTCTCTGTCTCTGTCGCATCTTTCTGTCTCTCTGTTCGTCTGTCTCTATATTATTTATCAAAGCGAGGGCTAACAATTATTAGCTTATTTTATTTTATCTTTTAAAGATTTTATTTATTTATTTGATGGAGAGAGAGAGCACAAGCAGGGGGAGTGGGAGAGGGAGAATCAGGCTTCCTGCTGAGCAAGGAGCCCGATGTGGGGCTCGATCCCATGACCCTGGGATCATGACCTGAGCCGAAGGCAGACGCCCAGCGACTGAGCCATCCAGGTGCCCCAAATTATTTGCTTTTAAAGTAACATTTTGTGTCATATAATTTCCTAAGGACATTCTCAGGAAAAATACACAATCAGTTAAAATTAATAAAATTAAAATGCATATTTAGTGCCAGTCATCAACCTCCTTATCGTTCATAAAAATGGCATCTTTAGTACTAGTTTTTAATTCAGCATGTCAAAAACGTTAAAATATGTTTCTCACTAGGTGGAAAATTTTGTTTTGGAAAGTAGAGGTACTAACCTGAAAGACCACAAAATGTAATGGCTCTTCTGTGTAAACTTTTTTTCACACTCAGTTTGTAGATGCCACTCTGAAACCAAAATGTGTTTTGGTTCAGGAAAGGAGCTCAGGAGGCTGCAAATAATAAATGTGCAACCCCAGCTATTTAAGTGGCATATTAATATTCATCCTTTACCAATGTATCCTCTGCTAATAGTAAAATTTGCTAATATTTAGTAAAGCTTGTGGTATGATACACATTCGAATCTAATTGACAATTTAAGCCCTGTCATTATACACAGGGCTTTTACTTAACTCTGTGATTATATATTTGTATATTTTTTCTCATGTCTTGGTGCTAATGAAAATAAGAAAGTACATTTTTTGCCACTATCTAAAGCTTCAGAATCACTTTAGAAATAGTATTACTAATAATATAACTACTTAAAGCAGATTGAAATGTTTTTGCAGGGGTTTTTTGTCCTTAGTATATATTCCATCAGGCAAGCACAGTCAAATTATGCTTTAAAATTGCTTGGGGGCGCCTGGCTGGCTCAGTCAGTTAAGCATCTGCCTTCAGCTCAGGTCACTATCTCAGGGTCCTGAGATTGAACCTCGCCACCCTCCTCAATAGGGGATCTGCTTCTCCCTCTCCCTTTGCCTCTCCCTACCTGCTTGTGCATGCACGCAAACTCTCTCTCTCTCAAATAGATAAAATCTTTTAAAAAAATTAAAAATAAAAAAAATTCCTTGAAAGACTTCCTCTCTATGAGTTAGGACCCTTTCTTTATTTCATATTCCATTTTATTTTTAGGGATCGCTTTTTTTTTCATTTTGACTTACTTATTTTATAATTATGTATAAGTATACATCTTATGTAATCATAACAATATACACAATGCCTGTTATATATTAGAATCATTTTATAATTATTTAAATTTATATATTTTCAAAGTCAAACGTATATAGCAAGGTACTTCCAGAGATCTCCAGCTCCCAAAGATCCAGCTTCTGTCTTGTTTTCACCCTGCTCTCTCCTTCCCACACATTTTAATCCTATATACAGGGTAATATTTCTCTATTAAGTGGATGTACCATAGTTCATTCAACTAGTTTCATTACTGGACACAAGATGTTTGCATTCTTTTTCTATTATATCCCTATTATAAATAACATTGCAATGCTTGCACGTATGTCTTTTCATATATTGCCAATATGTCACTGGGATGTACTCCTAGAAGAAAGATTGCTGGTTCCAATGTACATGCTTATATAATTTTGCTAGTTTTCCCCCAAATATCCCTCCACAGGATTGTACCATTCTATGCCACGATGAACATGAGTGCAAACATCTTTTTGAAATACTGATTTCAATTATTTTGGATATACCCAGAAATGCAATTGCTGGATCATATGGTAGCTCTATTTTTAATTTTTTGAGGGACTGCCATACTGTTTCCCATAGTAACTGCAACATCTTACATTTTCACCAACAGTATGCAAGGGTCGAATGTTCTCCGCACCCTCATCAAAACCAGTTATCTGTTTTTGATAGTAGCCATTCTGTCAGACGTGACGTGATATCTCATTATGGTTTTGTTTGCATTTCCCCGATGATTAGTGCTGTGAAATAACTTTTCAGATACTTGGCCATTTGTAGGTCATCTTTGGAAAACTGTCTCTTCAGATCCCCTGCCCATTTTAAAATAAGACTGCTTGTTTTTCTAATTGAGTTGTGTAAGTTGTAAGAATTCTTTATATATTTTGGATGTTGACCCTTTAGCAGAGAGTTATATAATTTTCAAATATTTTCTTCCTCTAGTTTGCCCTTTTTTCTAGTTCCTTGAGGTTTAAATTTAGATGGTTTATCTGAGATCTTTCTTTTTTTAAAAAAATAAAGCTTTTTTTAAAGATTTTATTTATTTATTTGACAGAAAGAGCGAGAGAGCACAAGCAGGGGGAGCGGGAGGCAGAGGGAGAGGGAGAAGCAGGCTCCCTGCTGAGCAGGGAGCCAGATGCGGGGCTTGATCCCAGGACCCTGGGATCATGAACCGAGCTGAAGGCAGACGCTTAACCGACTGAGCCACCCAGGCGCCCCTGAGATCTTTCTTTTAATGTAAATGTAGTTATTTATGGCTATAAAGTTCTCTCTTACAAGTGCTTTTGTTGCATCCTTTAAGTTTTATGTTGTATTTTCATGTTTGTTTCAAGATTTTTTTAAATTTCCATTTTGGTTTCTTCTTTGACTTGTTAGTTTTTCAGGACTCTGTTGCTTTATTTGACATATTTGTAAATTCTCCAGTTATCCTGCTGTCTTGATTTGTAGTGTCATACCATTGTCATTGGAAAAAAAATCCTTGGTATGATCTCAATCTTCTTAAATTTGCCATGACTTGTTTTGTAACTTATCATATGATCTATACTGGAGAATGTTCTGAGAAGGATGTGTATTCCGCCGTTGTTGGATGGAATGTTCTCTGTATGTCTGGTAGGTCCATTTGGTTTAAAGTAATAGTTCAAATCCCAGATTTTTGTAGTGATTTTTTTGTTTGGATGATCTATCGTTATTGAATGTGAGGTATTGAAGTCCCCTGTTATTAGTGCATTGCTATTTCTCCCTTTCACATCTGTTAATATTTGTTTAATGTATTTAGCTACTTTGGTGTTGGGTGCATATATATTTATGATTATTATATCCTCTTGATAAATTGACCCCTTTATCATTATATAATAACCTTCTTTGTCTCTTGTTACAGTTTTTGACTTAAACTCTACATTGTCTTATGTAAGTATAGCTACCTCTGCTCTTTTTTAGTTTCCATTTGCATGGAATATCTTTTTCTATGCCTTCTCTTTGAGCCTACCTGTATCCTTAAAGATGAAGTGGGTCTCTTGTATACAGCATGTAGTTGTGTCCTGTTTTGTTTTTTTAATCTCTCCAGCCACTCGATGTCTTTTGATTAGAGTATTGAATCCATTTAGAATTAGAATAATTCTTCATACAAAAAAACTTACTAATGCCATCTTATTACCTGTTATTTGGCTGTTTTGTAATTCCCTTATTCCTTTCTCCTTCTCTTTCTGCCTTCCTTTGTGAATTGATTTTTCATAGTGGTATGCTTTGATTCCCTTTTCTTTTAATGTGTGCATCTGCTGTAGGTTTTGCTTTGCGGTTACCATGAGGCTTATATAAAACATCTTATAGATATGAGTCTATTTTACACTGATAACAACTTAACTTCAATTGCATACAAAAACTCTACCTTTTTAATGCCTGCCTTCTATGTTTTTGATGTCACGATTTACTTCTTTTTATATTGTGTATTCATTAGCAAATTATTGTATCTATAGTTACTTTTAAGAATATTTTCTCAAAAACTAATGATGTAATGTATGGTGATTAACATAACAATAAAAAATTATTTAAAAAAAAGAATATTTTCTTTTAACCTTTATACTAGAGTTAATTAATTTTTTCCCAAACTTTTGTGGAAAACTTCCAGCATTTCTCAATTAACTTAATTAGACAAAAAAAACTGTTGTGCATATTAAACAAGTATCCATCAATTCCTGCTTTATTTTCTAACATAAAGTTGTTGGATTTTATCAATTGCACTTTCTACATCTATTGGGATGATGATACATTTCTCTCTAGCTCTATTAATAAGATAAAATGAATTTCTTACTATTGAACAACCCGTGTATTCCTAGAATAAACCCACCATGGTCAAAGTATGTTTTGGCTACTATTAGTATATTTAAGATTTTTGTATGGACATTTAGGAGCGACTGATTGTAGGGCTTTTTGTTTTTAAATTATTTTTATTTTTATTTTCTGATATTAAAAGATTGGTAAGTTAAATTCTGTGCAGGAGAATTCTCTACAACTTCTCTACAGGAGAAAACACAGGGTAATGAAAATGTTATTTCCTCCAAAATTATAAGCCTTAATATGCCTCAAATTCATACTGTAAAGCTCAATTCATGATATCTGGGAGAAATAATTGAGTCTGAATTGAATCTGAAAAGGCTTCCACATCCTTTCTCCTAATGTTTTCTGATAATCATGTGTTTGATTTTTTTAAGTGAATAAATGACATTTTTTACATGTGCTGAACACTTTGAATTTATTGATTATAAATTTAATATATTAAAATATTAGAAAATAATCTGGGAAATGCAGGGTATTCATTAATTGAATTATAATAAATCATATTTTATAATCTTTGTCAATACTATAAGATAAAAACTGTGTACTAGTTCTCTGACATACTGTTTTATATGATTTATTATGCTTTTTCTTGACAGAGTTTAGCATCTTCAAATGTGTTTTTTTTTAATTCCTGCAGGTTTAAAGGGTATTTGGAACACAAATTTCAGTATTAATAACTCAATTTATTGACTGAACTCTAAGTTTAATCATAGTTATGGGGAGTGGCTCCATATTAATTATTGTGATGCATTTATAAAAATTATCTTTGATGACATAAACTATTATGCAAAATATAGATGTTCATTTACTCAGTATAAACTACTCATACAATTCCATAAGCTAAGTCCTTTTTATTTTTTATTTTTTTCTTTTCCAATCTTTTTAATAACATGCACAACAAAAAATAAGTATCATTAGTGCCACTTAACACTTGCATTAACAGTTATTTATCTTTAAGTTATAAAATCAATAGTTCATTCAAATTTAGTTTCCCTATACTTTTTGCCCAATTCACACAAGAGCAATGTATTTTTTAAAAAGCATAATGACATAAAATTTTATCCAAGGTTGCAGTCTTCCATGCCGTCTTCTTCACACATCACGTCTAGAAAATGAACTTCATATGCTTGATTCCATAAGTTTTGAAGAAAACCATTATAATGAGTGCCCACAATCCCAGAATAAAACCCCCAGGAGGATGCGAATCTTTCAGCTTTGGTTTCTGGTGAATTATCTGAGCTACAGGAAGTTGTTCAGCACATTTCAGTGGTTGCATGAGTTCCTCATCCATCCAGTCTCTCTTATTTCTGCTTTCCATGATTTCTAAATCTGGTTGCAAACTAATGGTCTCTCTTGTAATTTCCACTTTCTGTTTGCTTCCAAAAAAATCAGTTATCAGGACATTTTTAGGATCCCTCTGAAAAAGATCAGTTCGATGGCCAGGGGTAGACACACAGAGACTTCTAGGACATACCTGAAAAAGGTCATTCATATTAGTTTGTCTAGCTGGATTAATTTCTTCCAAAAATTCCAAGACATAAAATGTGTATCTATCCATAAGGTGGACTCCAATTGCAGGATCAGGTTGATGCGAGAGTGAATCTTCTCCCACTTGGCTACTAGCTAAAGCCATTATGTTAGGAGAATGGAATCGTTCATACATGGATGTTCCTTGACACGTATCAATAATAAACAGTAACTCGTTGTAGTGTCTTTTTTGCCACATTTGCTCAAAAGCATCTGCAAGTTTTATGTTGGTAATTTCTTCAGAATCTTGAAATTTCAAGAAACCATTTCCACCATGTCCTGTCATATAAATAAGAATATTGCTTCTATCATCAGAAAGAAGACGTTTTGACTGAGGAGTACTAGGTGGGATCCTGCCAGTTAATATCCATAAAAAATTCTCCACAGTTACCTCATAACTTCTATAACCCACTTCCACATCATCTCATACACATTTAGTTCCATATTCTTGTGACTAAACACCGTAGCTGGTTTGGGATTTCTAGGGTTGTATGCCATATCGTCTGCAAGCATCAGAACAATATGACTGTCAGGAACATCCCACCTCTTGACACTTCTGTAAACGGAGAGAGTATCTGCAACATGCTGATAATTAAACCAGAACCGGGATGTACATACCAAAACAGCCCAGTTGTTTGTATGGCCAATTCTAAAGAACTGTTCTGCTTGATCTTCGATCTGACTAGTGGCCAAGGTGCCGAAGGACAAAAGCAACAACCCTGCCAGGGTAGTCAAACCCTTGTTGAGAAAGCAGGCGGCCACCATGTTTCCCGGCTTCAGCTTCCCTAAGCTAAGTTCTTTTTAATGAAGTTGAGAAAAATAGCAACATATATACTTGAAGCCCTGGGTGAGACTATTTACTTTCTCTATTATGATATCCATTTGTTCATTAATAGCCATCACTGAATGCACATCTTATCTCTAACATAGCAGCGTAGGCATATGAAAAATAAAACAGTCATCACTCTTAAAGAGTTCACCATCTAATGAGAAGCTGAAACATCATTATTGCATTGGTTAGAAAAGATTTTAGGATTTTTTTAGGTTAAAAGAACAAGTATCAGGAGTCATATTTAGTTCTGATTTGTATTACATCCTTAGTAAATGAAATAGGTTGAATGACTTGTGAATATTACCTTAAAGCAAATTATTAATTAGAAAGTATATAGTTATGTGAATATATACGTGTGTATCTGTAAGTGCACATGAGCATGTGTATGTGCATGCGCATGCACGCTTGGGGAATTATTAGGTGTATACATTAAAATTCTTTATCCACTAGGTCAATTATGTCAAATATTAGCAATTTCTTAAGATTCAATATAACATGCATCATAACTGCTTTCCATCTGCAGTATTACCATTACTAAGTAAAATAGGTATATATTTTTCTATTTATTTAGGTTTTACGCTTTTGATTGCCTACTGCCCTTTAAATTTCAAAACCAATATTATATGCAATCTTATTATTACAGTTGCTTTTACTTCTTGGAAATGTACTTTTCTGAGCTAATTCATGTGATTAATCTCTCAGATTGTTCTGTGATGTTGCACTGGTATAAAATCTTATTGGGGATATCTGGAACAGTAAATGGTATTCTGGTTTTGACTTTGATCTCCCTGTCTTTACTGGGTAAGTTAAAAGATCTTAAATAAAAATATAGAAAATGTTTATTATTTTCTTGTGACTCTTTTCATATTCATTCATTCATTTGTTCATTTTTTGTTAACAAAGCTTTAATAAGAAGCTACTATGTATAAAGCCGTACACTCTACTCCATAGCAATGTATTTAATATGTAGTCAAATCAGGTTTCTTGTTCTCAAATGGCATACAGTCTAAAAGGAAGAAAATTGTATGTGTTTGTGTGTGTGTGTGATGTGTATTGGGAAACCATATTTTTGGATTTCTTAGAAACCTGTGAATAGAATTCCATTTTTCTTAAAAATGTTTACATGTTGTATATAAGATTGTATTTAGTTTATACTTTATACTACCATACCCCAAGCATTACTACAAATTTCTGAAATCAAAAAAAGCCCTCAAAAACAAAAAAGCAAAAAAGGAATAATCATGGTGATAAATCTCTAGTGAAAGAAATAGATTTTAAATAAGTAATTATGGTAGAATGGGGGCTAAGCACAGTGTCATTGGTTTCAGCAAAATCATGACATTAAGAAGGCATGGAAAGAGCATGTATACTCCCTAGAGTAGAAATTTTGCTTCATTTACTACTGTATCACCAGTTCTTAGCATGATGCCTGGCACAGAATAGATCCTCAACAAATATGTATTCTATAAGTGAATTAATTATGTAATATTTGAAATTATTTTTCATTAAATAAAATGAAAATAAGAAAGAAACTTTCTAGTTATCCCTTCAGTTGTTTCTTGTTCCAATCATCAGAATCATTCCAAAGAATTTGTGTCTGGAGCACTGCACAGGGAGAAGATATTTACTCAATGTTAAAATAATTATGTTTTTAAGTTTCTCAGGGAATATTGCTAAAATGCCAAGAAGCAAAGAATTCAAATATCACCCAACATGATGATATTGGAAACCTGAAAATGAACAGAGGCACAAGAGGAAATATAACTAATAAGGACACAAGCCACTGTGGTTCAAAAGCTACAGACCATTCAGGTATCTCTCGACTTTGGCCTATAATGGTTTTAATTCTTTTGGCTTTCTAAGTTTGAAAAATCCTATTTACCAGTTATGCAGATTACATTAACAAATAAAGATTTGATATCAACCTACTTTTCATTCAAAACTTCATATATACATATAATTTATTACTCTTTTTGCGGTGGGAGGATAGTATCAGTGAAAAGAACATAACAAAGAGGCTCTTCCCTTCAGGAATTTAAAATCAAATTGAAACACACAAATATGGAAAGTTAATTGTGATTATAAGGCAGTATGTAACTATTTTTTTCTCTTATTTATTCATTTTTGAAGTACAAAATGAAAAAAAGTAATTATACATAATGAATGATTCATTATGATTTTATGCTTATAACTTCCAATTATACAGAATTTTAGAAAACTGTCCCTTCTACTTCCAATTTTGTTTTAGTTTAACTTCAAAGTGCTTAACTTTTTGGGCCTTCAACAATTTGTTTTATAGTATATGTGAGAAATGTGCAGCTTAATTTATTTTATAATTATTTTTCAAAGGATTTTCTCTAGGGGCACCTGGGTGGCTCAATTGTTTAGGCATCGGACTCTTGCTTTCAGCTCAGGTCATGCTCTTGGGATCCTGGGATAAAGCCCGAAGTAGGTTTCGGCACTCAGTGGGGAGTCTGCTGGAGTCTCTCTCTCTCCCTCTCTCTTTGCTCTTCCCCCGACTCTAAATAAATAAATAAATAAATAAACAAACAAACAAGATCTTTTAAAAAAAGGATTTTCTCTAATACACTAGTTTATGTGGTTTTCTTTATCACATATAAAAATGTCATATATATTATCGTTTACTTATTGATACTCTTTTCTTTGGGATTATCTATCTGTTTTATAAGTCCCAAACTAATTGAAATACTGTAATTTTAACACATATTTTAGACTCAGACTAGCTAATTCATCATTATGTTGGGTATTATAATGGAACTTTTTCAGAGGTAAGAAAGCTTTGATAGGTAAACGTGGAATCACATAGACACCATTAAATTTTTATTAAAATGTCTAAATACTGTATATCAGGCTGTAAGATATTAATTTCCTATTACTTTTTTCTTCTTTTTTAATTGAGGAAATATCCACAAACATGAAGTTAACCATTTAAAATAAAACAATTCCATGGAACACTACATCAAAAACTAATGATGTAATGTATGGTGATTAACATAACAATAAAAAATTATTTAAAAAAAATAAAATAAAATAAAACAATTCAATGGCATTAGGACATATGAATGTGCAACGACGCTATCTATCTAGTTCCAAAACATTTTCATCACCAAAAAAGAAATCCTATTCCCAGTAAGCAATTCCCCATTCCCTACCCCCCAGCCTTTAGCAACCACTAATCTGCTTTTTGTCTCTGTGGATTTACCTATTTTGGACTTTCATATAATGGAATCATACAATATTTCACTTTTTGTGTCTTGCTTCTTTCACTTAGCATAATGTTTTCAAGGTTCATCCATGTTCTATCATATATCAGCATTTTATTTCCTTTTCTGACTGAAGAACATTCCTCTGTTTGTATAGATCCACAATTCATTTAAGATGGCAATATCAATCAAAGTGCTCTGCAGATTCAAAGAAATTCCTATCAAAATTCCAATGGCCTTTTTTTTGTGGAAATGAACAAGGTGATCCTAAAATTCATGTGAAATTGAAAGAAATCCTGAATAGCAAAAACAATCTTGAAAAAGAATTAATTTGGAAGATTTACATTTTGCAATGTTAAAACTTAATGGGATGGGGAGAATGAATAATGGCTGCTTAATATTTACAGGGTTTCATTTTGGGGTGATGAAAATATTTTGGAATTAGATAGTAGTTACATTTGCACATTGCGGATGTAATAAAATCCATGGCATTTGCACCTTAAAGTGATTAAAATGGTAAATTTATGTCACATGAATTTTACTTCAATAAAGAAGGGAGATTTTTCAGGGCGCCTGGGTGGCTCAATCATTAAATGTCTGCCTTCGGCTCAGGTCATGATCCCAGGGTCCTGAGATGGAGCCCTGCATCGGGCTCACTGCTCAGCTGGAAGCCTGCTTCTCCTTCTCCACTCCCCCTGCTTGTGTTCCCTCTCTCGTTGTGTCTCTCTCTGTCAAATAAATAAATAAAATCTTAAAAAAAAGAAGGGAGATTTTTTTTTTTAAAGATTTTATTTATTTATTTGAGAGAGAGAGAGAGAATGAGAGATAGAAAGCACGAGAGGGAAGAGGGTCAGAGGGAGAAGCAGACTCCCTGCCGAGCAGGAAGCCCGATGCGGGACTCGATCCCGGGACTCCAGGATCATGACCTGAGCCGAAGGCAGTCGCTTAACCAACTGAGCCACCCAGGCGCCCAAGAAGGGAGATTTTAATGGCCATAAGTTTGAATGGTTATACTGACTTGAACTCATATTTATTCATACAATTCATTTTCTCTCGTTATTATGCCAAAGTCTCAGATATTTTCAATTGAAGACTTCAGTTTAATTTAAGAAAATCAAAGAACTTGAACTTGTAATTATATAGGGGCTGAAAAACTATTATTTTCACTATTATTTAATATCAAAAAGTAGTTATGAAGGAAAGATTTATGCACATAAAACAAGGAGAAAAATCTTAAAGCTTTATATGATTAAATTCTAAGAGAATGGTATAAATAATATTTAATCTCACAAGTAGCATTAATGCAATTTACAGCTTAAATGGTTCATGTTATTTTAGTAATTCATTAGAACTGGGCATGAAAAAGAAATCCCCTTTTGTCTAAGTTTTGCTTCATCTTATGAAATTAATTTCTTAATTCCCATGAATTATCATTTGTAATTTGGACATCTTTTAAATCTGAACACTTTGTTAGAGTGATTTTATAGTACAGTTCCACTCTTATTTATACAACACAAAAGTATTCAATTTTCTTTTGTTTTTTTAAAGATTTTATTTATTTATTTGACAGAGATAGACACAGCGAGAGAGGGAACACAAGCAGGGGGAGAGGGAGAGGCAGAAGCAAGCCTCCCGCCGAATGGGGAGCCCGATGTGGGGCTTGATGCCAGGACCCTGGGATCATGACCTGAGCCGAAGGCAGACGCTTAACTGCTGAGCCACCCAGGCACCCCAGAAGTATTCAATTTTCACTGAATACACATGTAACTTAATTTTGTTTGTTTCCTCCATTTCCCTATAGGGTTGTGCCCATCTGAATGGCTCAAATATCAAAAAAAGTGTTATTGGTTCTCTAATGAGATGAAAAGTTGGAGTGACAGTTATGGGTATTGTTTGGGAAGAAAATCTCATCTACCAATCATTCAGGACCAACTTGAAATGGTAAGTAGTTTAGTGTCAGGGTTATGACATTAATCTCTGCAGTTAGAAATGGTATTCCTCAAGACGATTATCATATGATCTCACTCATATGTGGAATTTAAGAAACAAAACAGAGGATCATGGGGAAGGGAGGGGAAAAATAAAACAAGACAAAATCAGAGAGCAAGACAAACCACAAGAGACTCTTAATCATAGGGAACAAACTGAGGGTTGCTGGAGGGGAAGGGGGTTGGGGGTGGAGTAGCTGGGTGATGTACATTAAGGAGGGCACGTGATGTAATGAGCACAGGGTGTTATATGCAACCGATGAATCACTAAACTCTACCTCTGAAACTAATAATACACTATATGTTAATTACTTGAATTAAAAAAAAATTATGCTAAGTGAATGAAAAAAAATGGCTTTCCTCAAGGGTGCCTGGTGACTCAGGCGGTTGAGATTTGACTCTTGATTTCAGCTCAGGTCATGATCTCAGGGTCATGAAATCAAGGTCCTGACATCAAGCCCCCCATCAGCTCCACACTCAGCACAGAGTGTGCCTGGGATTCCCTCTTTCCTTCACCCTCTGCCCCTCCCCTCTCTCACACACTCTCTCTCTCTCTCTCAAGCTCTCTAAAATCAATCAATGAATAAATGAAATCTTTTTTAAAAAATGGATTTTCTCAAATTTCTTCCCACCCTTCCTTTATTTTTATTTTTATGTTTTTGAAATTTTTTATTGTTATGTTAAACACCATACATTACATCATTAGTTTTTGATGTAGTGTTCCATGATTCATTGTTTGTGCATAAC